CCTAAGTCAACAGGGGGCAAGTGGTCGCCCATTGTATTTGGCCTATCACCAACGTTGCTCGTGCTTTCGTAGCCAAGTCTTCCCAAGGAACCATCGCCCCAGCACTTAAGAGAATCATCATCTAGCACTGCACATACATGTTCGTAGCCGGATGAAATTTGTTTCGCACTGCGTCCTGTGCCGAGGTCAACCAGAGACAACTGGTTGCCCATTTCACCTGGGCCGTCGCCAATGTCTTCTTGGTCGCCACGCCCCAGTTGCCCAAACCCACCTCTGCCCCAACATCGGATTTCTCCGAACGAGACATGCAGTACACACGCATGACAAGACCCTGCTGTCAGATGCGCAAATGGAACGGATGCCATCGGAGTCCAAGAGATCTTGCCGATAGAAACTTCAGCCCCCACCACCTCAAACCTCAGGGCAACCACGTTTCTTGTGATCGGGATCTTGGCATCGCGCCATGCAGCACTCCGAGCCTGCTCATTCCAAATCATTTGCCAAACAAATGACTGCAATGAGTCCCATGAAGGCACTGCTATCAAACAGTGCAGACTCAGTTGGAAGAAGTTCCTAGTTGGAGACAATCGGTACATGAAATTCAACCTCTGAAGCTGGGAAGTTGGCAAGTGCAGACTTGTAAACATGTGAGAGTCTTGATCATTGTGGACAAAACCATCCGAGCGAAACATCGAAGGGCCCAAATGCCAACCACAGTTGTCAGCATCAAAGTCGCAGGCCACAGACCCTTCAAGAGGCCTCAGTTGTGATCCCAAAGCCGGGATCAGGGGGATGGTGTGACATCAATGTGTCAATGTTCTAGAATCAGGATGCCCATGTTTCCGCTTAATAGCCAACTACCGATGGCCCGCACACAACCAAGGAATTTGATGGAAGATGCTAAGATGTTGGTAATGTTAGCGGATCAACCACCCAATCATTTCGAAATTCAACCAAGATTCAATCCAGAAGCCGTGCATATTTGCCACCCAGAGGAAACACCAAAGCTGTCAGTCGTCCATTGGATGAGACCTGAAGCGATAGTGCCTTGCCCTGGCGTTGAAGAATATGATTGGCCACCAATGCTGAATGAGTCAGAGCCACGCAAAGAATACAGCGAAAAGTGAGTGAAAAACAGAGGCTTCCCAGGAGCCACAATGTCACAGGATTCACCATTGATGTAATCATTTGGATAATTTCCACTTTGCACACAGCCACCTGCTGATAAGCACGTTCCAGATAGAACGACAAAGTCTGTCCTCATTCGCTCGATCCCCGGGATCGGCCATCTTGGCCCACGTAAGCGACTCTGTAGCGTCAAAATGACTCCCTGAAAATGACTTTACGGTAGCGTTTCACACTCAGGGGCTTGTGATATTGCAGAAGAATTGTCAGGCTGACCCAGGATGTTTGTTTTGTTTTACCGCGGTTGGATGAAAGTCAACTCGCAACAGGTTCACGCAAATACAACATCAACGGATCAAATCTCTTTATGATTCTTCCTAAATCAAGATGGCACGACTACTGTGCTAGAGGAGGAGCAAAGGCCAAACTTTTGTTCACGGGTTTGCTAAAGAGATTGCACAAAAAAAAGACATGACTGTTGCACTACAAAATCGGGAGGTGGAGGGATGACTTCAGTTGCAATGTTTTTTTGACTTCTGTTGTGTACGAAGTCCAACGCAGAGAAATGGCGATATTGTGCCTTCGAAACTGAAAGAGTCCTGCTACCGGAGCTCGGAAATCAATGACTGGCTGCGCGGCTGGAGGATAAGGTTGTAAAGAGTCATTTTGTAGGGTAGTATGCTGTTTCAGCAATTGTTTAGAGATTTGTCGTTTGGAAGCCCCACACTCACACATGCATAATCTTATAATCTCATCCTATTTTGGTGAACACCATCAAGGCAAAGTGACAAAGAAAACATGTGTGAAAAAGGCGTTTCAAGGGCCTTTTTGCAGAGAGGATACAGGTAGTGTCTGCGTGTATTGTGTGAATGTATGTGGCGAGATCTTGGATGTGGACAGAGGATTTCTTAGATGATTTCTCTTTGATTCTTCTCCCAGAAGATTCCATGACATTGAGGCAGTCACACAGTCAGCCTCTTCCTCTAAAAAATAAGCATTTCAATCAAACTAGACTACAGGGTGGCCCGAATGACGCAAGGTAACGATGATGTTGATGACGACCATGATGACAAAATGGATGACGACCACAATGGCGCGAATGACATAAAGCCGATGTGACAATCTCAATACTTATAGACTTATATATACTCGCGCAACTTCTGCGCTAGATTGCCAGCAGCTGCCTCCGGTACTACAGTTGGACTACAAAGTTGCCAATTCTGAGCCCCCAGCGCCCCGGCACTACAAAGTTCCCAGTCTGGCCTTCCCAGAAGCTTCTTCCCGTATAACATGATTGTGATTTTTCTTGCCGTTCTCGTCCTACATGTGGTGGAGAGTTCTTGTAGAGTTGGAGCTGAGATGTCACGTCACTTTGATTCGAAGCTTTTGAGAGCTTGAAGACGTGTTAGAGAATTTCGTGGCGCACCCAAGCTTTACCCTTGCAGGCTTGCAGGCTGGCTGGGGTGGGCAAGGGGTGGAAGGCAACTGCTGCCAGCGCACGCGGTTTGCAAGGTAATAACCACCTAGCCACAGCCACGTGCAGGGTACCAAGGAGCCTAGAAGCTAAACAAAATATCCTCCTTGTCAATGACACGCGCGCTTCGTTTAGCCCGGCCCCGGAGTCTCTGCTGTCCGCCGCAAGCTGTGGCTTGGCAAGGCCTCTTGACGGGAAACGCACATTATAGGTCAGGGCGCAGAGTGTCTTGAGCTCTGCAGCATCACCCACTCAACCGCCCAACGCAACACCAACATGCTACTTCAACAACACGTTGCTCCCTCCAACAACATAGTTCTTCCATTGGGGCATTTGGTTGGGACGTTGTGAGAACGGGTACCGGATGATTAGGGAGGGAGGAGAGCTGAAGAGAAAATTGAACAAAGGACGAACTTCGCAGGAAACAAAATATATGAAAATACTTGTGACTCAGACCGCTATGGTTCACTCCATGCACGGTGCACATCTGCCATCCAGTTGAACTGTCGACATTGTCGGAGCTCCACAGAATCATGTCTGAAGTTGTAGTACCTTGTGGCGGTCCAGACGATCCAGAATAAGCCTGACCATTGAAGGTCAAAACATCATCGCCTTCTTCAGTTGCAAATCTAAGGAAATAGAGCGGCTTCTCTGGAGCCAGAATCTCACAGGATTCAGAGTTCCCATAGTTGTCGGGATAGTTTGGACTCGTCACGCAACTGCCTGTCGATGCGCATGGACCAGAGAGAACCACAATGTTTTCTCCACCTGTCCTTAGGCTGTCACAAGTGTCACAAGAAGCTTCTAGATGTCTATAGGTCGTAGGGCTCCTAAGCCATGGAGGGGCACAAACTACCCAGGGAATAAAACACATTAAACTCCAAACAGCTCCATACACAAGAATTGTTGTTGTCGTGGATGGCAAAAAATACTACGGTGTATACATGTGGAGTCTAGTGGGGCCTTCATGTTCTGTTTTCCAATCTGCTTGAACCACGCTCCCTTTATAATACTTCCCCTCAAAGGCAACAACGAAACCTGGCCTATCATAAACATACAAACTCTGACTCTGACAATGATTACAAAACCGAGAAATCCAACAGGGTGCACCACAAAGAATACTAGGCAAGGTTCTTATAAGCAACGAATGAATATGAGATCGGTCGCTGGTCCCACACACATAGTCTACAAAATAAGGAGCCGGGCAACTCTCCATGCTTTCAAAAAGCGAAAATCAAGAAGAGAATGTTTGCGAACAGAAGCAGGGGAGAGGATGGAAGAGGTGGGTGGAGAGAGAAGGTCATGGATCAGTGCGATGGTGTGTGCAGTGGGTGCGTGAAGTGGGAGTGGACCCCCAGCAGCAGCAAAGCCTCTGCGAAGCAGCAAAACGCAATGGAGGAGCCAGAGAGACCGGGGTAAGACCGGCAGACTTCCACTTGCAGCAGAGCCTCTAAAGAGCAGTGAAGTAGCAAGAGAGCTTTCACAGACCAACAAAGCACAGTAAGGGAGCTGTGGCAACAGGTGACACCAGCAGACCGCTAGTGCAGCAGAGCCTCACGACCCGGGTAAGCGGCTCTATAAGAACAGCAAGCCCGGCTCGCTAATCCGCTCTCCCGACAACTGTACGTTGGTCTCCAAAGATGTACGTAGATACATGATCGAGGTTTTAGGAAACTCACAAGATGCCTTGTTCCCCGTCCCAGCCCACCCCCAGAAGCGGGCACTAGCCAAGCTGAAACTGTCCGAATCTTGCCACTCTGCATTGAGCGTCAATCTGAAGCCAGAATCTTCTCAACAACGGTCATGGTGGCCCCCACACTCAACAAGCCACACGGGGTGCCTTGTCAAGAGATCATCTCCTCTAACAGCAAACCTTGCGCCGCAGCACAGCAAGCAAACGCGGTAAACGGGCTAGCTCAGGGCAGAAGGAGGAGAGCCAAAGATGCATTCGGCATCTTTGAAAGGAGGATCTGCTGAGGTGTTACGCTCCACCCCAGAGTAGTGAAAGTAATTGCGCAAGTCCTCTCCTGACGCAATCATGACCTGGTCAGCTGCAAAGGTCATGCAGCCCATTTGGACGATTTGAATTTGCCCACGGTGCGCAGGGTCCGAGCCACAAAGCGAAAACAAAGCACGGAGTTGCTTCCGGATGTGACCAGCTGCCGGATGAAGAGAAACCCGGTGTCTGCCAGCAACTTCTCAGGTTTGTGTTCTGTTCACCTGTCAACCTGCCAAGGAACGGGGCAGCAGAACATGGGGGGAGTTCCCACAATGAAAAAGGCAAAGGGTGAGACCGGCGCTGATGGCTCAAGCCCTTCCATTCTTGAGCGGCCGTGTGTTCATGTCACGGGGCTAAGCATCGACAGGCGCAGACGCAAAGGACAACACCACGATCAACATAGGAGGACACCAGGAGGTGAGACAAAGGCTGACGGCGGTGGACCGTTTGCGAAAAAAGTGCTTGTTATTCACTTCGCTATGGTTCACTCCATGCGCGGTGCACATCTGCCATCCAGTTGAACTGTCGACATTGTCGGAGCTCCACAGAATCATGTCTGAAGTTGTAGTACCTTGTGGCGGTCCAGACGATCCAGAATAAGCCTGACCATTGAAGGTCAAAACATCATCGCCTTCTTCAGTTGCAAATCTAAGGAAATAGAGCGGCTTCTCTGGAGCCAGAATCTCACAGGATTCAGAGTTCCCATAGTTGTCGGGATAGTTTGGACTCGTCACGCAACTGCCTGTCAATGCGCATGGACCAGAGAGAACCACAATGTTTTCTCCACCTGTCCTTAGGCCGTCACATCAAACTTCTAGAACTATCCATCACAGCACCTGCGCCAACTTATGAGCAACTTATGAGCTATAGGGAGGGGGAAACTCAAAAGACACATGGAATAAGAATATGCGCAGACTCTACTGAGGAAAAACAACACAACATGAAAATACTTGTTACTCACACTGCCCGAATTCACTCCATGCACAGTGCACATCCGCCATCCAGTTGAACTGTCGGCATTGTCGGAGCTCCACAGAATCACGTCTGAAGTTGTAGTACCTTGTGGCGGCCCAAACGATCCAGAATATGCCTGACCACCAAAGGTCAAGATGTCCTTGCCTGCTTCAGTGGCAAACTGTGTGAAATACAGCGGCATCCCTGGAGCCAGAATCTCACATGATTCAGAGTTGCCGTAGTTGTGGGGATAGTTTGGGCTCGTCGCGCAACTGCCTGTCGATGTACACGGGCCAGATAGAACCAGGAACTGTGTGATGGACTCTATGCTTCTCCTTGGATTGGCCATGGAAAGTCGGATAAATGTGAGGTGAATACCCCGCATGCCCCACCCAGTCACCTGCCAAGTTTCACCGAAAGGTCATCGATGGCGATGTCGCTGCTCCAACCAGACCCAGTTTTTGCCACGAAGCGCAATCGACTGACCGAGCCCGGCACGACCACATGCGCATCCCGCCATGCCCATCCTTGATTGCCAGATGCTCGCCACAAACTGGTGTATGTGGAGCTGAGCCCTTCCAGAGAAAGTTCGCCCATGCTGCTGCCATACATGTGGTACCCGAAGCCGAATAGCCAGCCCGAGCCCGAGAAAAATATTGAACTGTACAGCCAAAAAGACTTCAGGGTTTGGGCAGTGCCGTTTATATGCACGATTAAGCTTGCACTATATATAATGGGCACACTGATCGCGCAACTCAAACAACATATACCAGCATAGGCCCCGAACAGTTTCACATTATCTTTCCCCGAGCAGTTTACTGCTGGAGTTCTCTCTTAATGTTGGGAAAATACTGGCTGGCCGCGCCCCTGACCGTGTCCGGGCTCTGTGTCCGGGTCTTGTCCTCCTCTTGTCCTTCTCTTGTCCTCCTCTTGTCCTCCCCTTGCCCTTCTCTTGGTCCTCCTCGTGTCTTCCTCCTGTCCTTCCCTTGTCCTTCTCTTGTTCTCCTCTTGTCCTGCTCTTGTCCTGTGGCGCAGGCCAACCCTGTGTCCTCCGTCCTCCTGTTCCCCTCAAGCCCCTGGCCACAGTCTCTGGCGCCCATGAACCCTGTGTCCGGGCGTTGTCCTGTTGTCCTGTTCTTGTCCTTTGCTGTCCTCTAGCCGCCACGCTTGCGTCCTCCTTCTGTGCTCCGGCCACGCTTGCAAACGCTGTGTCCTCCTGCTAGCGAACCCTGCGTCATCCTGTTCCGCCTTGTCCGTCTACTCAGCGCCTTGTCCAGACCCTGTTCAAGTCTTGTCCGGGTCTGTCCCCTGCTTGGCCACGCCGCTTGCCCTTTCTCCAGCGGCTATGAACGCAACAGTGGCGCCGCGTTTCCAATTTGATATCATTGTCGGGTTTTCTCATGGCATGTATCCCTTCGTTTTTGCACTTTTGATCCGGGAATCAGGAACTATTCCTTCAAACAAATGCAATTCCCAAGCAGTTGGAAGCTATAGGGCGAAATTATATAGACGTTACCACTAACATTGGAACCAAAGATGTTGACGCGAAAATAGCAATATGATGCTGAAACTGTTTGGGGTCTACGCTAGCATAATTTTGGTGGGCTTTTTTCGACTTTCGACTTTCGATGAGCGGGCCGACCATTCAAGCGCACCGCCTGCAAGAATTCAGATGCTAGTCTGGTCCAAAGGTCTCTTCCCCTTCACCAGTGACGCAGCTCGGGCAGCCAATCGCACCAGGACGGGAGCTCAGAAGTTCCATCCTGAGCTACAACCGCCTCCGCGAACAAGGCTGCGATCATGTTGCAAAATTGCGGCGGGTATTCCTTTAAGGAAGATGTTGCCCATCGTCCGCCCTCCAATCCTATTGAAACTTGCTTCGGTCATGGGGCACTTTTGGCCCGTTGGGCTATCTCTGCAGCCTTCTCTTCTTTGATGCCGCTAAGCAGGAGTCGCGTCGGTTTTGCACTCTTGGCACCGTAGTGGCCCTGTTCAACCGCCAGTTCACAGAAAAGCCCAGTCTGGCGAAACCATTGAAGGACGGCAAGGCGCCAAATGGACGCTGCGTGATCCACGCCCCTTCGGTATCGCTGTGGCTCTTCCAGATGCTCCAAAAAGGAGAAAAGACCTAGTCGTGCTTGGAGGAAGCAAATAAGCAGGGCAAATGTGAGCAACGTATTGCCAACTAAGACCTGAAGACTCTCCTTCTTGGTGAAGTCAAATCTTCCCCAAAGCTCTTCTGCTGATCTCACTGGACGCGGGCCCTCGCCGGTTTCGGTAGCTTGTTCGCGGGCTATTGACCAACTCTCGCAGGTGGCCCTGCTCCGGTGCCAATGGCTCATCCTTCCCGAACAACTCGCAGCCATAGCTCCGCAGTCATCAAGTTGCAACGTTCTACTCCAACCATAAGATCTACTGAGAGGACGGACATGTGTGTTCCAGGAGGCAGAACAACCGCTTCGAGCGCCATCTGCAAGTCACATGGAGAAAGAAACGCTGCTTGTAAAGGACCTGTGGACATCGCACCGTGCATTCGACAATAGAGATCCTCTTTCGGGTATTCTCATCAGTCAAATCTGCCGGAGCAAACTCTGGTACAAGCTCTTGCGCTGTAGAGATCAGCCACCGAGCAAGGAGGGGTCCGCGCTTGCGAGGTAGCCTCTGGCCCATCGTGTAAATCCATGATGGGTTGTCGCAAACGGAGCACATCTGAGGCAGACTGCTTGCAGTCTCTCGGCCAAGGCATGCGAAAAGTCACTTTTTGCAACATCGGTCGTGAAATTTCGATTGGCTTCCAAGTCGGTCGTCAAAAGGAACACGTCACGGTCGAAAACAAACTCATTGGTTGTCGGAGCCTGAAGTCCAACTCTGGTCCAAGGGCAAAGTGCATGGGGTGCAATTTGCTCACTCTTCTCCGCGTGCCTACCCGACAGTTGGCGCTGTACCGCAGGTGGTGGTGCAGTTTCCTCTGGCGCCTTTCACCATCTCCCCTACCATGCTAAGGTACGAGTGCTTTTGGTTTGCGCGCAAGAACCACGCACGCTTGTTCACAAAGGCTCTGCTACACAAAAGACACAGGTGCAAGCTTGATGTGTCAACGGACTGGCAGAACCCTCCAGCCTTTTCAAAGTCTTGCATGAGTGACATTTCGTCTTCAACATTGGCAATATCGACTAAGAGACCTCCATGCTCAAGCTTCCTGTCATAGGTTCCTTTGAAACCATGAAACCGGCTGCGATAAGCACATGCGGCAAAAGTTCACCTAAAGAGTCCCGTCTTTCAAATACTTTGAGAAGAGCACAACAATGTAAAAACAGAGCACTCCATTGGCCGCCAGGAAACAACTTTTAGCCAACTTGTGCTCAGCCTTGTAACGAAAAGAGACTTCTGTGTCTCTCCTCCATTCATCCGGGCAGAAGGCTTGATCTCCGCCACCAAGACTTCCGCCCAATTCATGGTTTCGGCACTGTCGAAAAAAGGGTGGTGCAACTTTTGTGGCCCCTTCCGAGGAAAATGCCAGACCTCCCAAAAGAAAATCAGACTGAAGTGGGTCACCTTGAAGACCGTATTGAGAAACGAACCCGCCGCGCAAACAAAAATGCTGCAAGCTGTGCCAGACTCATTCCAAGCATCACTGATATCCCGAAAGGAATACACGCATTCGTCACTCCAGTCTTCGCGAGTCACCTTAAATGCGGCGCCATCAGCGGCTGATGAAGAGTGCTCATATATAGGCAACTTCACAGCTTGGCCTTCTCGTCTATGAGAAAGGCTCCTGCTGCGTCTTGCGAATCTTCTTGGCTTTCTCTCTTGGGGCTTCTTGAACGAGGTCCTTGGGATCGCAAGTTCCGTGCCAACTCTGTTTGCTGCTAGCTGGATCAGCTTCATGCGAAATTCTCGCTGCTTCCTGGCCAGTTCTCCTGAGGGCTTCTCCGAGAAGGCACTTAGAGCAGTCTCCTTGACTTCGGCCAGGTTCCGGCCTCCGTTGCTGGAAGTGCTGTCTGAGCTAAGGCAGAGGCTTGAAACTGCTGTTGCAATCTCATCAACTGTAGATGGGTCTCTCGTTGAGCTTCTTGTGAGTCTTCGTTCTGTCTTCGAAGCTCTTCTTCCACCGATAGACGCTCTACCGGCATATCTCCGTCTTCTTTGGCTTCCGAGATCGCCAACTCCAAGGTCTTGATCTCGGACATCAGCTCGCCCATCTCCTTCTCGTAGGCCTTCTCTTCTTCTGCCCTGTGCTGTTCCATATATGTCACAAAGGCTTTGAAGGCTTCTTCTCTCTTGGTCTTGGCTACCCTCACCTTTTCCAGTTTTTGTACCAGCTTTCGACGATCGTTGAGATCTTTCTGCATTACTTTCAGCTCTTCCATGGGGTTGGGAGCAATTGCATCTGCCACCTCCTTGCTCATCTTGAGGTTGTTGGCTTCTACGACATCCTTCAACAAGTGTCGAAGGTGTGCATCCCCAGCTGTAGCCGTTGAGGATGAGGAGGATGATCCCGACTCCTTGGATACAAAGTCTTTGCACCCAGGTTGCTTTGGGTCTCCTTCTTCTTTGCCGCTCCTCTTCTTCTGCGGCTTTTCCTGCTCCTTCTGAGCTTTCCGCCATGCACCTTGCCACCATTGGCTCTTGCCTTGACCTTTCTGTTTTCCCTTGTTGCCGCCCCACCCCATTGGCTTTGGCCAGGAATGATGTCGCTCCAAGAGTTGTATAGCCTGCCAGATTCTCCTTCTCCGTGCAGGTCTGGGACAGTGGGTAGTAGTCCTTTTGCTCTTCCTGACCAGTTGTCTCGCTGCGCTTCGTTTGCGCCTGAGCCTCCTGTGCCAGCTTGGGCTTTTAGGACGTGTTCTCCTCGTCACAGATGTCACAGCCCACTCCCACCAACAAGGTCTATGGCGCCGTGAAGAAAGGGAAAAATGCGCCCGGGTCGAACGTTTGTTCTGGGACTCTTAGCTACGGAGTGCCTCCGCACTGCTTTGAGCGCTAATTTTGGGGGGGCATCAAAAATTGAATTCCAATGTTGGCGGCAACGTCTGTATTGGGTATGGCACGTATTGCCGGGGTCACATGTGCAAACACGAAGGGGTAAAACGCTGCGTCACTGTTGGGACAAGGGGTGGAGAAAGGGGAAACGCCCCTGGGCAAAGCCATCACAAGGCGGGAACCAGGAGGACCAGTGTGGTCAACAGCAGGACCAGAAGAGGACGCAGGACAGGAGGACCCAAACATATTTGGTGAAAAACAAGGGTCGGCAACCTTGAATTTCGCAGTTGCTTCGGGCTGAGGCGGAGCAGGAAAATACAGTAAGTGCGTCTACCCAAAAGATGATGAGCTGACGTCACTCATACAAACATAACAAGAATGGATCACCCCACTCCAAGCCTTGTAAGGGTTGTTGTCGGATCCTGAAGCCTCCACATAGAGATAATATGACCCTTCCTTTGCCCCACTTGGCCCAGTACCGGACGATGGCGTGGAGCCAGACCGGCGATACCAATACATCGGCGTAGACCAATAACCGCTCGGAAAATACCAGCCACACCAATCGGTCGATTCAAAGGTGCAAGCGATGTTGGTCGGAAGACTGTGGCAAGCGATGAGACTGTGGCAGAAGAACCAGAAGACGTGCCAAGTGTAGAGGCACATTGGACTCCACGCCATGGCCGCCGGCAGGAATTGGTGTCAATGGGTGATGTCTACTCTATTCGACTCTACCTGTAGCTTGCCATGCTTGTGATCTTTTGCAATGCAATGTGTGAACAAGTCCTTTCATGTTATGTTCTGTGGCGATCTGCATTTGCCGTGGGCTTACACCCTGCAATTGTAGTTATATATTATAGTAGCTATACACTCTTCGAAAGCAGTCCAGAGCGAGCTGAAAGTGCCGAACGAAGGGAGCTGAAAGTGCAAATCATCATGGACCCCGGACCCCCACAAACGAGCTGATTCGATTCCGTTTGGTGTTCTGTAATGGTTTCCAAAATACAGTGCCAATCGTCGTGGAGACCTAGACCAGATCAACCTTGCAAGTATTTCACGAACAAGAAATATAGGACACAAAAATAGACACAGCCCAAGTAAATACACACAGGCCATTGTTTCGCGGGCCTCTCAAGATCTCATCACGGCCTGGTCCATGGAATCATACGGCAACCCATGTGGACCAGCTGACTTGATTTGTGGATAGGTTCAATCAGCATGCCAAAAGCGTTGCGTCTACCTCACTTCATCAACCAGTCCATGTAGGACCTGGCCGTCTGGACACAGATACTGAACAGCACGGCGGATGATCCTCACTGGATTATGACGCCGACACCGCACTGAACATCTGCGTCCGGTTGCTGGGAGACCACCTTCTGCGGAAGCAGGCTCCTTGGCTGCTGACTAAGAATCAAATGCTGACAAATGTCAAGCGTGCCATCATTGCACCAGGACGACCCTGGAAAGAGCCAGCACCATCACGCCGAAGGGTGCGGGAGCCTTGAGTGAGAAGATGATCTCCACTTGAGGGTTGGCTGATTAAAGGATGCATTGATCCCTGATGAACAAAAAACGCATCATGGCGGTTGGCCTTGGGCCTTCTTCCCAACTAGAGTCCAGCTCAAATGGCTCAATTTTTGTGTACGTCTTTGAGCAGCCTAGTGGGCCCTTAGTAGGCGCGTTGATATTGTGTCTATCGGTTGATGCCGCCATCTTTCGCACGTTTCTTGGTATCATGGGTGCAGTTCACGGAGGCGAAATGCAGTTCGATGGATGAGGCGGAGGTGAAGCTCAGCTTAAGTCATAACTCGATATGGCTCGATCTCTTTCAACTCCAGCGGATACGCTGCCTGCGCTGCCAAATAAGAATGCACTGAGTGCTGGAAGTAAAGCAATGAAGTGCAATCATGTCACTCTCGCTCCTTTTTTTGCACGGAAAAGCTATCATACACTGTCATACGGCAATGTTGTTCAATGGCACAATGGCCTTAGTGGTTCCTGCTTGAGAACCTTGACAATATCTTCACATGATGCGCGCGTTTTCGCACGCCACCTTCCGCCATCTTGATACCATGCTTCCGATCTTTGCTTCCTCAGACAGATATTCGGGACTCGTTCAAACTGGATCACTCGATGTCTTGGAACACGCTGGGTCCAGGGGACCGCGCTCGATCTCCAAGCGCATGGCGGTTGGCTGGTTCAAGGATGGCATTGATCCTTGATGAACAAAAAAACGCATCATGGCCAAGCTGCCTTCAAAAGCTGGCGCTTCGGCCTTGAGCGTTCTTCCCAGCAATTTCCAGCTCAGATCGATTCTGTTGAACAGCATTGAGGAGCCTAGTAAGCCTTTGTCCTTATATGTCTATCGTTTGATGTCCCCATCTTTCGAACCTATCGGAAAGCTGGAAGGCTGGCAAGGCACTTGATGGCTGATCTCCGGACTTTGGGAGGTCTCAGTGCATTAGCAACTTGCGGATGTCCATCCAGCAAAGCGGCCAAGCTGGGAACTCAGCTTCTACGCTCCACGCAGGGGCGTCTTGGCTGTCGCATCGCAGGGCGTCCCCACGAACTTTGCTTCTCAGCCACCACATTAACCAGCGGCAAAAGCCACATACACTGCATATGAATTTGATAATCCTCGGACACAACTAACAAGCAGGTTTGAGGGTCAAATCCATCAAACAGTCAAGCTACAAGTTCAAACATGTTCAAACTCATTCATCAAAAACTCGCCCAAAATACGAAACAAGGCTTTGACAATCTTGACAGCTCTGTATCCGCCAAAGCTCACGGTGTTCGACATCCTGCGGGAGTCAATACATGCGAACGGTGAACCTAAACCAGTTGAACGAACAATGGTCATGGTTCGAATCGAATACAAACCAGCGACCTTCATATCCTCACACTCTGTGACAGTGCTGGGGAGTGGCATTTTTGTGGGGGGGGGCAGCAGCATATTATGCGGATCCAGGTGGATCTGTGCGATTTGAAGTCAAAGGTGAATCCAGGTGGGCACTCGTGTGAAGTCGAAGCAGTGTTTTGCGGTAGTGACATCCGGAAAAGCTGGACACTGTTCGATTTCACCAAGCGTGGGTCCACCGGTCGTGAGGCCGCA